GCCCAATGCAGAGATAAAAAGAGACAAAATGGGACAAAATTTGAAATCAAAACTGCAAATAAAAATGGAGTAAATGAGAGAGGGGGCCTCTACTCAGCTTCATTTACTTCCCAATCTGAAACACATCATTTGTTAGCACACACGAAATATACGCGCTCAACATTACTCCATTCCTCCCCCTCCCCTCTCTCTCTTCTACAAATATAATAAGGGTAAATTATTACTAACTGAACTTTATTCTCTTTCATATTTTTTCGCTGTACTTTAAATATTTTCAATTTCCTCACTGAACTTAACATAAACTTAACACAATGGATTTTTTGGTCACTCGACCGTTAAATAGTTAAAATCGTTAAAATGTGTTGTTATATTATTATATGATGTAGAACTACATTGTTTTGGTGAAAATTTTGTTTTTTAAAATGGTGTCGTTTTTAATTTCGTTAACTATTTAACGGTAGAGTGACAAAAAATAGGATAAAGAGTAAAGTCCAATGACCAAAAAACCTAATGTATTAAGTTCAATGAGGAAATTGAAAGCTTTTAAAGTTCAGTGAGTAAAATAAGAGAGAGTAAAATTAGGTGATGCAATTTGTAGTTTACCCATATAATAAAGGTTCTCCTTAACGAATTTTAGAGGGGGAAAAAGATAGATAAACTATTATGGATTTACTTCATTTGCATCGATAGACCTTATTTAAACTTTAAATATTATTTATTATCTAAAAAAATGTATGAAATTGTAAGTGTGGGATCTTGCGGTTGAGATTGGATTGAGGAGCGACAATGGATCCCGCAAGCCAATCATATCTTAATTTCAATTTCGTTTCCTTTTTAATGTTATGTCCACATCCCCAACACCTATAAACATTAGGACTAAGTTTTGGGGGGGGGGGGAAGCATAATAATAAAATTATTCTTTAACATTTATATAAATTATTACTTTGTCTTTTATCTCTTTTTTAGAGTATTTTAGGCCTAACGTTTTATTTTGGAGTACAATGTTGGATAAAAATTGTTAGTTTGACTAATTGTCAATATTTCATTATGAACGTGATAAGTCTATGTGTGATGTCACTTCAGTAAAAAAATATTTTTTAAATAAATAATAATAATAATAATTAATTACACATACACTTATAAAAATATATTTAAATATAATTTTAAAATATTTTTGATGACGTGATATCACAAATTGACATGCCACATCAATAGGAAGTTGTGACCATTAGTCAACTAACGATTTACATTTATCAAATAATATTCTACTCTAAAATAAACATTGATGGTGAAAATGCTAAAAAAAAGATAGATAACAAAATGATTATTTATTTGAAACATTGGGTAACACTGTTATTATGCCCAAAAAAATAAACATTAAGACGGTTTCCTCGCCAATGTAGGGCGTTGGAAAAAAAAAATTTCCCATATAGGACTCTACCTAAATTATTTATTGAATTAAGGTGTTTGCCACAGTGATCTCATTGGTCGCCAAATGCTCCATAAGTCGCCAAGTGCTCCTTGCGACAAAGCCTCATATATTGCAGTAACTCTTTTCTCTTCCCTCGCTGTTGCAGCTCCATAGGTCGCCAAGTGCTTCATAGGTCGTCGTGTGCTCTTGGAGACCTATGGTGGTCACTATAACAATCACTCTACTTAAACAAATAATTGTTCGACTGCACTATATGAAGAATTTTTTTTATTGTATTATTCAAACACTTTTGCCGTTCTTGTTATGTTATTTATGTTTATGTTATTTTCTAAAATTTATAGATTTCGAAAATCGAACAAATTTAATGATTGAATTGAATTCAAGTACAGTTGTAGTTAACCGAGTAAATTAGAAAGGGATAAAGTATGTTGTAGTCATTGGATTTGATAACGTTTCTTAATTTAACCTATTGAACTTTCTCATTTGTGTACATTAGTCCTTGAATTTGACAATTTTTCTCATTTTTCGTCTTTGGGAATTGTGATGATATGACACGCCATCACATCGTAATGATCGAAAATCTAAGTTTAGGGATTAATGTGAACAACAAATGTTAAGGGTTAAATTAGAAAAACTTACTGAGTTGAGGGACCAAAAGTCTTTTATCCCATTTGGAAACTTAATTCATCATAGTTCAAATAAATCTAATAAAATATGGTAATATAAATATTCAAATATTAATTCAAAAATTTTAAATACGAACGATATAATTATAAATTTGATCTATTTATTTTACGGAAATTCAAGAGTTAATCTATTTTCTAAAAATGATAAAACGATATAATGCTAAAGTGTTATATCATCATCTACTCAATAACGTTATAGAAAAGGTTAATGTGTTCGACGGAATACAAGTTCGATGTTAAAGGCTTAATGTGAGATAAAAAAAAAAAAACTAAGGGACCAATGTGAGAGGAGGGTAGAATTTCATGGCCAAACATAGAATTAAGCCAAATGAAAAATACCCCATTGTTTAATTGAACCGGCGGACAAATAAGCGGCGACCGGGGTGTTGGAAAAAAAATTCTCAATATAGGGTTCTACCCAAATTATTTCTTGAACTGGGGTGTTTGCTACAGTGACCTCGCCAAGTGCTCTTTGCGACAAAGCCTCTTCTGTTGCAGCAATTCTTCTCTCTTCCTTCGCTGTTGCAGCTCCATAGGTTGTCAAGTGCTCCATAGGTCGTCGTGTGCTCTTGGAAACCTATGGAGGTCGTCATGTGTTCTTAGAGACCTATGGTGGTTACTGTAGCAATCACCCTACTTAAGCAAATAATTGTTCGAATGCACTATGTGAAGAATTTTTTTTTCCATTGCATCATTCAAACACTTTTGGGGCACAAGGTTCTTAACCTTGAGGTCGTGGGATCGAGTCCCACGGAGGGCATTTCATAATTCGAAGGTCTCTTATGGAAACTGCTCTTAACCTGGTGTTGGGGCAGTCTACTATCTTACCTCCCCCTTACCCCATACATATGGGAAAAAGGGACAGCCATTTTATTCCCTAAAACTGTCTATAAGCACCAATTTTTTTTGTCGCCGATGAAAATTTAATTTAATAATAATTTATGCATATCTCTGCCACTTAATTAATAGATTTTTTTTAATAAAAATGATGGAATTTGTCAATAATGAGGTCACTATAACAAACACCTTAGTTCAAGAAATAATGTGGATAGAGCCCTATATGGGAAAATTGTTTTTCCAACGCCCTACATAGGTGAGGAAGCCCCGTAAGAACATGTCTACATGCATACAAAATATAGGATAACATACACTAGAGGTCATCACATTATGGCCAAATAATACTTTTAGCTACTAAACTTTTAAAATTATAAAACAATTATTAACTTTTTGAACATTAATAAAATAGTCATTAAATTTATCAAATTATTAGAGAATGGAAATTAAATTTATCAATCTGTTACAAAATAGTTGTTAAATTTTATCAAAATGTTTACAATTAATTATAACATAGTAGTGACCATTTTGTAATAATTCGATAAAAAAATATTATTTTGTAACTTTTAAAAATTTAGTAAAAAATGATTTTTTAAAAAAAATATTTCAATGACCTCTGATGTACTTTATCCTAAAAATAAAAACAAAACAAAAAGAACAGAGAAAGGTATTGAACAAACAGTGAAGTTTGAAAGAAAAAAAGAAGAAGCAAACTACAATACAAATGCGAGCAGCGTAATTTCCCTATCACAATTCACTCTGATACGTCGGGGAACTGTTGGGGGATGTAATGTCAGTGTCACCATAAGCTCAATATTGAGACTAAAATTCTTAAGTTTATTCGAGAAATAAAATTAAATTTATTCGAAAAATGGAGTAATTATACGGACTGGCCACTTAAATTTCTTTCTTTTTTATTTTGTCTAATATAAGTAAAAGGTAATACCTATTCGGAGATAACTTTCAACCATTTGACATTGAATACTAACACCCCTTTTGACATTGAACACTAACACCCCTATCATTCTTAGCGCTCGAATTCAGGACCTCAAGAAATAACAACAATTTATTTACCACAGGGGTCGTTTGGTTCGTGCAACCGCTTAAATTCTGAGTATCGGAAAATGGGGTTCCAAGGTTTAAAGAAGTGGAGCCTATATTTCTGGTTGTTGTCTCCTTTTGCCTTTTCCACGCATGTTTTTAGTTAGCTTGAAGAGCTTTCATGGAGATTACGTAAAATTATGGGATTGAGATGTCTCGAGAAACCAGGCTTTAATGCCATGGCTGGCGCGCCCTTTCGGCCTGTTTGTATGCACTTGAAGACCTAAAAACAAAAAGTAGATGCACCCTTGGAGTTTGGTTTTTCGTATAGGGTGATGGTGACCCATGCAATCGATCTTAATGATGGGTTGTGGGCAGGGAAAGGCCCACATGAGGTCTTTGATCCTTTGGTCGTTGCTAATTGTAATGTAGAAAACGATCATAATAGGTGGAAATGACATAAACATAACATTAATTGAGTGATCTTTGCTCTTTGCGAGTAAATAAAATGCTATTCTATCTTAAGGTCCTAATTTTAAGAAACTGAGTGTGTGCACTATGACTATAAATATATAATATCATATAATCATCTTTAACTATTAAAATTTCCATCCTAAATTATTAATTTATATTAATCATATCCCTATTGATAAAACCATTATAAAAAATACTACTAACATGTAAACATTTTTTTTGGATAATCAAGATTTTATTACCCAAAAATAGCAGCAAGCTGCTAACAATACAGTCTAATCAATATAACAAGAACTGGGATCAATTTACAGCAAAATTAGATTATACCCCAGTGGTTACAAAGAGTTGAATTTATACTATCTAATCTATTAATATTCCTATTACTTAGAATAGATCTAACTATCTCCTTAATAGTATTAATAATTCTCTCTTCGGTTCTGCAAGTTTCTTTGAATATCCTGCGATTCCTTTCCTCCCAAATGGTGTAATTAAAGGCGCACCATGATAGCTTCAGGATGCAAGTGATCAATGAATTACCTTTCCATGTAAATGTCGCCCAATCCAGCAGGTTTGGCCAAGTCGATAATTGTCTGCTCAAACCAGAAAGTTGAATGATTGATCTCCAAATGGGAACTGTCTTCGAGCACTCGGCGAAGAGATGGTTTTTAGTTTCTTTTGCTTCCGAACAGAAGATGCAGAGATCGTTGGTAATAAGGCCAAAGCGTTGTAGTCTGTCCTTAGTGGGTAACCGATCCAGAATAACAAACCAGGAAATTAAGCTATGCTTCGGTACATGAAGGGAAAACTATATTAATTTATGCCATGGGACTTTAATATCTTTAGGACGAATATCGTTCAAAATATCCTTTATGGTTTTTGCTGCTGTTATAAGCATTGTTTGGGCAACTCTTTTGATTTTTAGCATAATTGTTTGGGCAACTCTTCTGATTTTCAGCATACGCTTGAAGCTCCAGCTTGCGCTTTGATATGTATTATGTTAGTAATTAAAATAAAAGAAATTAAACAAACTAATAAAATAAAAAAATAAAAGTCAATTTTTTTATTTTGTTTTAAATAATGATTTTGGAGATGTAATGTTATATTAATTATAATCCATATCACGTTATATCATATACAACACACATCAATATTAAGGTAAGGGTAAACTACATTATATACCACAAATCTTTAGACGTTATATCGTTTATACTACCGAACTTTCAATTTTGTCAATTATAGCATTTAACTTTAATTTTCGTTTCAATTATACAACAAAACTGTTAAATCGTTAACAATCAGATAAAAACAACGTCGTTTTGATAAGGTGTATACGCCAACAGTTGTCAACCACATCATCGTAACATTAATGATTTAATAGTATAATTGAAACGAATATCAAAATTCAGTGTTACAATTGACAAAATTAAAAGTTGAGTGATATAAGCGAACGAAACCACAATCCCAACGGAAGGGCCAGCACGGCCTACACGAGGGCCCACTCCTGTAAAAAGTGCCCTCATTCCTCCATCCCTATACCAAATAAAATATAGTTTGTAAGTAACGACTCAAATCCGGATTATACGAAGCTAGCTTCGACTCAAATCTATCAACACGATCGGCTCTTATGGCAATCAAAATATGGAAGCATAAACACTCCGGGTAGAAGCAACAAACATATAGAACTCAATCTCCATGAACACAAAATTTAATGCTTAATGCTACCCAAGTTCGATACTTCAGAAAGCAATAACAGATTAGAATATGATATAGTTTGATTTCATTCCTATCAACACAAAGTCGTTTCTCAAACATGTGGCTGCCTAAGAAAGCTTATTAAAAAAAATCCTTAAAGGTCTTGGGGAAAGTTTGAGACTTGGAAAATTGGAACCATGTAATACACATTACCATCTCCATCAAAGATGCTTAATTCAATTAGCAGTGAGTTAGGAAGATACCTCCAAACTTCCGTCAGTGTCTGCCGAGTGGTCATTCGCAATGCCCTGACAGGGTCCTTCTGAAAATCGAGACAGAGACAGCAGATTAGAATTAAAAAATGATTTTTTTACAAAAAAAAAAAAGAATTAAAACAGGATTTAAGAGCAAGTTGGTTGATTTACTTTGTACTTCCTGGGGTTAAACTAAAACCACTGGATAAATACCAAAAGTAATTACTAATTGGGTAAACATGCTACGCAAGTTCAACTTCAACATGCAGCAATATTAAGAATTATCCATTAGCTTTTGAAGGAGAAAAAACTCTATCTGCCTTCGAGTTTTTGCAACATCTAGAGGACAGGTAGCAGCAGCGCCAAGGCTCCCAGCCAAAAACCCAGCAGAAAAAATCGCCCCAAGGACAGTAAATACATCGGATTCTTCCCCAACCAAACCAAGAAGTTTTCTCCTGATCTGCAAAATTAGGTAGAATAATCAACAAATTCAGTTGTTGCAATGGGTTTCTTGAACAATATCCATGGTCACCGGGGTACAACTATAGGAGTTCTAAGAAATGGGAACTCACAGGCTCAAGGGTTGACCAACAAATTCCAGAGAAAGGAGCATCACGAGCAAGTTGTGCTCCCATGCCTGTCCATAAGACGCGATACCCTTGTACTGTCAAAGGAAACATCAGAAAAGCATGCTTAGAATTGTGGGGGGAAAGATTTGTCATCTGCATCATGACAGCAAAAATGAATGTGAATATGTACTTTTTGATGCAAAGGACGTAGAAAGTAGAAAGGCAAGGGGAAAAAACATTATTCCCAATAGGCTAAACTTAAAATGCTAAAAAAAGTAAGAATTACCAGAAACAGGTAGAGTGGAGATTAACTTACAAGTGCAATTTTTAGGGACTCTGATGGGTTCGTGCTGGCAGGTCGGGCTAAATACATCGACGGTCCGCGTAATGCTAGTTACGTTGAAGCTCATGCAGTCTGGTTTGGGATCCGGTTTGCAGCTGAATTCGGTTACTCTCGCATAATAATAGAGAATGGCTCAAGTATTGTGGTTCGGTAATTATTACATCATGAGTCCGACTAGTCTTCGCTCCGTTTCATTCTATCAGAGATTCAGAGGTTCGACAAATTTTGGACAATAAACCAAAATTCACTATTCAACCGATTCCCCGATCCGCAAATGAAATAGCACATAGTTTGGCCAGCCTTACGTCCACAATCCACATCTTCAGATTCAGTATCTTTTCAATATGAGTATCCTTTGTGTTTAGCTGATAATATTGTACAAAACGCTATTTTTGGTTAATGGTAATGGCCACTCTTTTCTCCTTTGTAGGTATAGAAGAGGCTTTTATCGAGATCCAATTTAAATAAAAAAATATTTAATTCAAAATAAATGTCTAAATTATACCATTTTTTTTAAACATGTGTCTAAATTATTTTTGACTCATCTAGTGCTTAACGTTACTAACGTTATTCATTTAGGTGCCCAGATCATCAACGACGTTAATTTTCTCTGTTAAGTGATATGTGTCAAAATATGATATTTTGAGACTTACTTTTTATTAAAAATAACAAAATTATTATTATATTTATAAAAAAAACCTAATTTCTTAATTTATAAGAAATTAACAGCAACCGAAAAAGTCAAATCTGCGAATGTCTAGAATAACAGAAATCGTGTGGTCAATCAAACCCTAGAAGAAAAATGATGGTTCAGATATTTTCATTTGTCATACCAAAAAAAGAAAATCATTTTCCCCAGAAAGGGCGAAATTCTCTGGCTTTTACCCTCTCCTCTGAAATGAAATGGGATATGGAGATCGAGGAAATCGAGGCGGTTCTCGAGAAAATCTGTGACTTACACGACAAGCTTAGCGACGCCATTCACTCCATTTCGCGAGCCCACTTCATTAATTCCATCAAAGCCCTCAGAAATTTCGAAAATAAGAAGCTCTTCAACGATGTCGTCGGAGGCGACGATAATCGGACCGGCTTTGTTTTCGTCAAGGAATTTAGAGTCGACGATGGTGACTCCGCAATTCAAGAGGCCAAGAGTCTTAATGCTATCCGAACCGCTCTCGAGAATCTCGAGGACCAGCTGGAAGTTTTCCATGTCAGTTTTTAACTCGCTTTCTTTTCGAATTCGTTTTTTTTCCTTTACTGATATTGCCTGATGATTTTGATTGACTTCCGTTAAATTAATTTCTAAAGTTGATATACGGATGATTGTGAAAATGGCTTTATACGAAGAAATGAAAGGAGCTGTAATTCTTTTATGGGAATTGAATTTCCAATGTTTGCTTCTATTCTTGCAAACTTTTACTTGAATTTCTGTTATATAGGGAGTGAAAATGCAATAAGCTAGTCAATTATTCAATAGATTCAAACTCGAGTTTTGTTATATAGGGAACTGAGAGCCTACTTTTTATGTTTGATATGATGGTATGCATGCCATTGTGAGTAAAAAAGCAATCAGCTAGGCAGTTAATATATGTTGCTCTTACTCTCATTTTTACTTAACCATGTGCCATGTTTAACACTTGTCCCTGATGCATAACAGGGAAGGGTGCAGAAATTCATGTTGGGGCTGCGAATTTGAGAAGTTATATTAAAAAATTTAGTGGGTGTGAAATTATATAACCAATAGAAAATACGAAGAAAGGAAATTCGAAAATTTTAGGGGATGCGACCACACCCCCCTCGAAAATGCGTGTGGAGATACGAGTATACAAGGGTTTCAAAAAATGGTCCGCAACCGTGATTTCGTCCGCGATATAGCGGTTTCGCCGCTGTCCGAGTTACCCGCGACGACCGCAATCACGGTAAATCCGAAATAATCGAAAACGTGACCGCGACTGCGATTTGAAACCCTGTATACGACCCTCTCAGAATATGGGGAAAAATGAATATACCCGTGTGAGAATGTGCAAGCTTTATCCGAAATGAAGCTGCTTTAGTTTTGTGAATTCAAAAATTTTAGGGGATGTGACAGCACCCCCTCGGTCCATCCCTGTCCTAAAATGCGTGTGGAGATGCGAGTATACGACCCTCTCAGAATATGGGGAAAAAATGAATATACCCGTGTGAGAATGTGCGAGCTTTATCCGAAATGAAGTTGCTTTAGTTTTGTGGATTCTGTTCTCTTTGGAGAATGGTGAGATGATGAAGAGGTTTATTAGGATTTAGAGTAGCATTAGAAGATGGCAATACAACTATTGTATGGGGTGAATCCTGATTTATTTCTTCATAATCCCAATTGAAAAATTCTGGGTTTGGATTCATAGGTTTTTTAGGTGCTGTGGTCATTTTGACCAACTTTTCTCTGTTTCTGACCTTACCTGTTTGCTTTTACCTTTCATGTATGCCACTGTTTTTTTCAGAATATTACCAAGTAGCATGGCACATGGATCACTTATACATGTTCCTTTTACAGACAGTACAAATGCAGCAGCGGGTTGAGAGAGATGCCGCCATTGCACGATTGGAACAAAGCCGGATAATTCTCGCATTGAGATTGGCCGAGCATCATGGAAAGAAGTACAAAGTAATCGATGAAGCTCTAGCTTTTGTGGGAGATGTACATGATGCTAGCCGTTATGTCTCAGCCGAAAACCTTTACTGCACGCCAAACAGTCCATCCGGAGAGAATGTTGCATCACACGAAGGGAAGCGCTCTAACACGCTAACCAAGATTCTTGTTTCCAGCTTCAATTGTGCAAAGAAATCCCTGAATTTCGACCATACGGGTGGGATGCTAACCAATGCAGCTATATTCACGGTCAGCATGATAGCGATGATGTATCTGCAACGGATTGCTCTTTCAGAACATTCAGGGAGACGAGAAGATAACATCGACAACCGCAGGAACACGAAAAAGAATTCCCGACTCGAAGGGTCATCATCCTATGATCATTCGAGCCACTTAGATGTGTATTTAGCCCGGGGTTAAGGTGAGGACATACTACTATGATCATTCGCTGAGCATGTTACCAAAGAATACGATCCTTTGTTTTATCTTATTATATTGATCTGTAGTTACTAGTAGAGTTGTTGTCAAAAATGCTGATTGCTCTTGCTGGTATTTGGTTGAAAATGAACGTCTAATCCACGTGTCTCATGATTAGGCATGTTAAGACTTGATCCTGATGTCCACGTGGCTATAAATAATAAACAACAAGAAGAAGAGCAATTGCTTGAGTTGACTGGGGCTGCGATTCGGTACAGAACTCCCCATACAAACTTCACGTGTTCATCACATGGTTGCGTATTTGTCCCATTCATTTTCTTATTTCTTGTACGGTCTGGATCCACCTTATAAAACCAGATGTCTCGGAGTCTAAGTAAGCATGCGAATGTGATCAGAACCTGATTTAGTGGACCAATGTGGTCGCAATGGATTGCTGTCGTACACTCTACATATGGTAAACTTAATCATTTCAGCTAACTAATAGTCAGGAAATTAAATGGTAATATTTTGGTTTTAATCCTTTTAAATTTTAAAGTTTTAAACTAAATGATAAAATTGTATTTTTATCCCATAAATGATAAACTTTAACGCTGCCCATGCATGGTTGTGGTTTCGGCCATTTTGCCCCTTAAATAGGGAAATCAATAATTTTCTTCTTTAATTTGCAAAAAGGAACATGGTGAGAAATAGTTCATGTAAATGTAGAGAAAAAAAATATCAGTTTTGAAACTAAATTAGCATCTCACGTGAGGGATGATGATTTACAAACTCGACAATTGACTAAAGAAATCAAAAGGGTAATTATAATGAAGTTCTCTATATCATGCAATTTTATAGATTTGAAATTTATTTTTCCGCCTTGAAATATATATATTTTTAATTTTCATACGACGTTGTTTCGATCAAGAAACATACGGTGGTGGAGCATATGTGTTTCTGAAATCTTTAACTTTTTATATAATTTAGATATCTTCTTTATGCGTTTTATTAATAATTTTATATCATTTAAATTTCTACTATAAATTTTTAAAAATCTACAATCCTAACATAAAATCTTCGACCATCCTTAATATAATCGTCTAGTTGTACCACATCTAGGGGTAGACCTAGAGGAGGCTAGATGAGGACAGTCACTTCCTAAAAATTTTAAATTCATATATATTTTATATATTTTCTTTATATTTTTATTGAAAATATGTTTTCGCTCTTTTAGAATTATATAAATTTTTTCTTTCTTAAAATTTTATAAATTCACCATTTAACATAACATATTTTGTCATCCCTAATCATGCCAAGAGTTAGTGATATGTCTCAAAACATCCCCACAATAAAAAGAGACACTAGAAAATAACAAAAACTATATCACGTGAAGTCCAAGTCTCAAAATAAAAAATAAAAAAAATGAAGCAGGAAAAAGTAGCCAGATCAAGTGAGATTCATTAACCTCAACGAAGCCATCGGAAGCCTCTTTCTTATGCAAAACGAGATCACATCGTAACTAAGGACGGATAAAAGATTTTATGACACACAGTGAATTTGAGCTTATAAAATTTCAAGAGACGAAGTTAAACTTTAAAATTCTAGGGACAAAAATAAATTTTCAATAAAAAATACAAAGAAAGAATCTAACAAATGTAATAATTTTAAATTTTCAAAGGGATCACCTCACATGCCTCCATCTAGGTTCCCTGATAGTAATTCTGTCTAATCTTCACACGAGATTTATTTTCTTCGATCCGGTTTCTATTAATGAACTCCATTTTCTCAGCCGCCGTCACATTTTTTTCTTGTTTCAGCAACAAATCCATCTCTTCATGTCTGGTTTGAATCTGACCAAGTACCAACACTTCAACAAGGAACAAACAGAGAGACATGACCGAGTAAAATATGAAGTCCAGTGGCCAAAAAAACATTGACAGAAGGCCGATAAGATGTTCGTCTTCCCTCTCCTTGAGCTTACCGAATTCGATTCGGTTCGAATGTGGAGTGGGATAATAAGTTGTGGAAAGTGATCCATAGGTACCGTGGACTTCAAAGGATTAAAATCGACAAAATCAACGAGATAATGCGTTGATTTTTTTTTTTCACGAGATAGTGCCCTCGCCAGATTAATTGCTCAGATGAGGTGATCTCTACAGTCCCCAGGGTAGGTCGCCATGCACGCCCAGCGACCTAGGTAGGTCGCCATGCAATCCATGCAGCCCCCAAAAGTCGCCATGCAGTCCATGCTTGGCAAATGCCTGAACAATGTTGGTGGTTTAGACATGGCCCTTTCCTTCTACCCTGAGTGTGCAAATGATCCCAAAACCCAAAGTGGTGGGACCATTTACATTGCGCCATGTCTCATTACAAATTCGTCCTCGCAATTGAAAATACTGTTACAGAGAGCTATGTGACCGAGAAGCTATTTTACGCTCTGGACTCTGGTGCAGTACCTATCTATTTTACAGCAAAATGAGTGTTGGACTGCATGGCGACCTTTGGGGACTGTATGGACTGCATGGCGACTTACCCCATCTCACAGGGACGTCGTCCGGAGCACCTGACGACCTATATGGGGACTGTAGATATCACCCATCTGAGCAATTAATCTGACGAGGACACTATCTCGTGAAAAAAAAAATTCAGCGCATTATCTCGTTGATTTTGCCGATTAAAATCTTCCTTTGGCTGGTGTGCACTAATAAGGTTATTAATAGTTTCATACCGTATTAATAATTATAAATCATCCACGTATCGTATGTGAAATAAAATTAAAATATGATAAAAAAATTATCGTTAATTTATAATAAATTTTAAGTATCATAATTCGAATAATTTATAAACATCAAGCTGTGAAATGCACGATTAAGGTCTACCAATAATAACAAGTCAAATTAAAATAATTTTTTTATTGATTCAAATTTAATCTTATAATATTATAATAAAATTTTGGAAGAGGTCAATAACAATAAATATGATATTGGTGGGTCGTCAAACATAAGAGGTTCATGTCTTAAGCGTCAAAATTACGTTGAATACTTACATTTTCCACGACATTAATTCTTTACGTTAATTTTCTAAAAATTCTTGCTACATTCTTGTCTATTTTCCCTCATCTCAAGCAACGATTTAATAATTAATACATAAACAGGTCCTTATATTTTAAATCTGAAAAAATTAGGGTTTCCGGAAAGAAGAAGACTTTAACATATGACATCAATTTTTCTTAATGACAACTTATGACAATAATAATAACGAAAGCAAATTAAAAATTTAAATATTGTATTGTAAATTTTAAAAGTAAGGTAACTAAAATGCATCTGCCATACAAATTCAAGGACCATTTATATAATTTTCCTTAATTCTACTTATGTGTACTAATAGTACCATATTAATGAGATTTATATATTTGTTATTAAACATGAGTTTTGAATTCAGCGACTACAAATCAGATTTGTTTGTATTTATCTTTGTTCGAGTTTTTTTTGGTTAGGTTTTAGTCTTTTATTGCATGATCTTTATGTGATTATAGGAAAATATCCTAATCACACGCTTAACTTACGGTTAAGATTATAAATCTTCATTGTAATTTGAAATATTTTCTATTTTAAATAAAATTAACAACTTTTATCGGGGAACTCAACAACTACAAAATGAGCATAAATTCCGTTGATATTATTGTTATTGCAAGGTTTAAAGAGTTGTAAATGTAAATACATTTAAATGTAATATTTTTAATATAAAAATTAAAATATTGTAAATAATTTAGGTATTATAATTTACATAAAAAAAACAACATCAAATACCATGAAAATGTAATAAATAGAAAAATATGAAGATTTGTTAATATAAAAAATATTCATATCACTAATATTTGTTAAATCTTCCATATAAATAGTAATATAAAAATATATAATACTAAATCAAACTCATATATATTTTTGTGCACTAATATCTTTTAAAAAAAATCTCATATAATTAGTATACAAATATACATATCAGATGCGATATAAATCATATAATATCGAATAGTATGTCAATAAGATATTATTTTAATTAAAATATTAAGAAATTTAAGACCTTAAATTCAAGTATTGTTGTATAAATAGTTTAATGATATTATTGATACAAATATACATACTTATATACCAAAACAAATCTTAATAAAACTTGTCTAACATTACACCGTATCTAACTAATACCATAAAGTTTTCCTTTTTAAAAACGGTAAATTATGCGTTTAGTATTAAAACTATTATTTTTGATCATTTTTAATACCTAAACTTTAAATTTTTTAAAAGTTATATCTAACGTTTAGTTTTTTCTCTTCATTTTAGTACCTCGTTGTTAACTGACATTTTTTATTGGGTAAATTACATCATTTATCACTCAATTATCTTCTCACTCCTATTTTGATACTAAAACTTAAAAATTTTCAATTTAAAAATTGTTCATGTTTTAATTATTCTAATTTATTTTATTAATACTTTTTTTGTGACATTACATTTTTATTATTATTTTATTAATATATAATTGAAAAATTAAGAAAATAAAATTGAAAGTCGGATTGATTAAATTAGGAGTAATTTAAAAGTTAAGTAATTAAATAAAAAAAATTAAACTTTAGTGACAAAAATAAGAGTAAGAAGATAGTTGAATGATAAAATATATAATTAGCCCATAAAAAGCGTCATGTGATCACCTGTTAAATTTTTAACTGCAAAATATTAAAACAAAATAAAAATTAAATGTTATGTATGATTAAAAAAATAAAAATTAAAGTATTAAAAAAATCAAAATCAAAATTGATAATTTAATTATTAAATGCGTAAATTTTCAAATTAAAAGTTAAGAGGAAAAAATTAGACCGCGCGGTTTTCAGAAATGAGCGGCACGACTCGGAGTCACTTGACCGGCCATAACCGTGAATTACGGCACAGTGTATGGGGTGCAAAAAGAATGCCACCATGGCATATTTTAACTCTGCCACGTCATAATGACATCAATAAATGAAAAAGTTTTTAATGTTTTATTTCACCCTCAAAACTATAAATACAGTTTTCCACAACAGCCTAATCATTAAATAAAAATATCAGCAAAACTCCACTCAATTCTCCGTTTATTTTAACGGAGAGACTAACATTAAAAACGTTAAGACCAAAAAAGCTATTCTAAAACATGTATATGTCGCCGCCGATACAAAATCTGCCGGAAAATCGACAAGCAAAACAGCGACGACATGAACTCTGTTTCATAATGTCACTAAAGGATCTGAAAAGAACACATCATCGATGTCTGCAAAATGATCAGCTACTTGACACATAGTCGACGAAGATGAGGATGATGAGCAGCCAAAATCATCACTGAAAACAGTACCATCTGGTAAAAGCATCGCAGCATCATCGAAAACCGACAGCCCCGACACTGACATGTCGAAAAGCTCGTCGACCGAAGGGAAATCGAGCGGCAAATCGAACACCGAAATGTCGGAGAAGTTGGTTTCGGTTTCGCCTTGACATTCGTTAAGAACCGATTGCTTCTGCGGCGGCGGTTTTCTCTCTTCTTCTTGGTATTCGGGAGCTTGTTTCTTCGGTTTGACCGGCGTTTCTTCACTCGACTGAGTTCGGAAGTTGAGAACCGAGGTTGGGGATGAAAGATTGTGAATTGACTCGTCGCCGGATTCGTAACCGGAAACCGAACTGACGTTGATTGTTTCGGGTTTTTCATCGTTTTCTTCCTTAGTAGGCGGAGTAACGAAGTTGGTCAAAGCGTCGGGTCCTCGGAGCTTGATCGCCGCATTATCATAAACCATGGCTGCTTCTTCAGCAGTATCGTAAGTGCCCAACCACAGCCGTACACGTCGAGCGGGATCACGAATCTCCGCCGCCCATTTCCCCCACGGTCTTTGCCGTACTCCCCTGAACTTCATTCCATTCCCTTTCACCGAACAAACCTTAATCCGCCCACGACATCCATTCGTGACGTCAGCTCCCGCCGCCTTCCTTTTCCGGTTAGAAACGGTGCCGAAGGCAGCGACAACCTCGATATTGATCTCGTTGACATAACGTTTCACTCTCTGACGACCAAAGAACTTAGCTTCCTCGTCGCTGGAAGAGTCCGTCGCGTCATGGTCCGTAACAGATACCCGAACGATCCTCGGAACATCAGCAACAGCGCCGCCGTGAGTACGGACATGATCGGAAGCTCTTTTTTCCGGTTTTCTGAACTTGCGAGTAATACTTTTGTGTTCGGTGTATTTGCTCATACATATGACGCTTTCCTCCATATCTGATTGCTTCCTTTTATTTTTCCGAGTCTCTCAGATTCTACCAGTAAGCATCGACTCAGTAAAAAGCAATAAAGCAGCAAAAAAGGCAAAGCAACCGTGAAAGTGAAGCTTAAAACGACGAAAACAAGAACAACGGTGAACCCAGAAATCTGACAAAAGGGTGTTCAAAAAAAGAGACAGGCCTTTCAACAACACGAATCCGCCATGGGAGGGGCTGAAACGGAGATAAAAAAAGGGGGGAGCAACTGAAGTGAAGATACACAAAAAGGAAAGTGAGCAACTGTTTGCCTTATAAAAAGAGACGCAGGTAAGCACAACGAAGTTTCTATACTTGTCACTGTTCTGTTCTTTGAAGATTTCGCTGATGAGATCCACTCGACCAATGAAACCCATAATCACTCATTTTACCGTTTTATAGGATCCCAACAGCCCAAATAGGAAAATAAATAAATCCTCGATAGACTACCATCCCTAATACCAATCCAAGTATTGTTTTATGTAATGGTCAAATTGTGATTCAGGTCCCTATATTATGTTAAAGAAAAATTTCCTTTTCGCCTTATACTAGCGTAATTTGGCCATTTTACTTCTATAATCATATCTATTAATCCAAGTTGCTAGTATCGTTGCCAATGCGGTTCAAATAACATGTTTATTTTGGTCACTTATTAAGTTTCAAGGGGTTTAATATTTTATGGTAAAAATTATAGTATGAGCTTTTAACAACTAGATTGAACGTGGCGGGCAACCTTGAATTCTACCTCATACTGATTTTTATTTTTTATTTCATTTTAGTACCCAATGTTAAAAACCTAACGTGTTTATTATGTAAGTGGTTCGTGTGTGTATATATATGTATCACATCAGGAGGCATTCCCACCGAGAGAGGTTGTGATCAGACATGTTTAAAGATCCCATGTCTTAGAGTCACGGAGAATCATATATATAATATATGGATTAGCAAAGACATTATTGAAAAAAGCTTGAGCTGCTTCCTTGGAGTTTGGCCCTCATTTCAAATTGATTATACCCCGAACCCCCAAATAAGGTAAACTACTTAGTTGATCATTTAACTATTTAGCCTTTTTACTTTTTCCATCAATCTTTTAACTTTTTCCATCAATCTTTTAATTTTTTCAATCACACCACATAACTATTTATTTATTTTTCAATCAAGCCACTAGCCGTTAACTGTTGACAGAAATGATGATGTGGTAGTTAAAAGGAATTGACATAATTATAGTTATGTGGCTTGATTGAAACAATTAAATAGTTAAGTGGTCAACTGAGTAGTGGCTTTAACTGCCACACCATCATTTCCTTTAACGTTAGTGGCTAGTGGTTTGATTGAAACAATTAAAAAGTTATGTGGTGTGATTGAAAAAATTGAAAGATCAATGGAAAAAGTAAAATGGCTAAATAGTTAATTGGTAAACCGAGTAGTTTACCCAAAAAAACCATTCAGAGAAAGGGACAGCCAGTGTAAATAAATACACCAAAATCGGGGGGGGGGGGGAATTGAGTCTACCGAACCCAGAAAAAATTAGTATACACAATTCCTATTCTTATTAATTATCCATCTTAGCTTCATTGTTTAATTAATTAAATAAATAATAAATTGATTTTCCTGTTCTGCTGCTGCACAAAAATCAAACAGATCGGCCGCACTATTTTCTTTAATGACAAATTCAGTGCGTTGAACAATGGCGGTAGCACGAACCTGCGAACTTCTTATTTTGAACAGCATAGAATAAGAGATTGTAATTAGTTCACATTTCTTCTCCCATTTTCTATTTCTCCCACATTATATAATACAAATGGAAAAATCTAAATTCATTAACATCGTGTTTTTAAATTATAATATCTTTTGAAACTTATACATAGGTTAGATGATTATGCTTATTTAAATTATTGATGGTAAGTAGAAGTGTGAGTGTTTGGGGGAAGTCGCCACTCGGCAGTTTATGATTCCCTCAATCTTGTGAATTTGTCTTAATGGAGACGACGTGGGCTCTATCAAACTAAGATATAGTTTCTTTATATATATATAATCTTTAAAAAATAAACAATGGAAGCTGATTTTCAGGGACCATGCTGGCCTCCACTCGTGGTCACGACCATTAGCCATACGTTTTGAATAATAATGAAACAAGAAAATATCGGCCCAATATTAAAATACTCGACAAGGAATTCTATCAATAATTTTTTTTCTCTTGGTTGATTTTGCGATGTTCTTAAATATAATAATTAATTAAGAAAAACTTATATCCTCGATAACATATAGACAATTTTTAAATTCTTTTTGCTTATATGCTTACTAAAAATTTGAGAGCAGTACTTTTGATTACTAAAAATTTTCTATATCAATCGAGTGCGTAAACTACGACTATTCAGTATTCATTTCGGTTCTATATCGTTAGTATAAAGTAACGTTTAAATATAAACTAAAACAAGCTTTTGGTATAACATTATTTAAATTGTGATATAATTGCCAATATTAGTGTTTGAATGCCCATTTTAGGGAGAACAATGAACAATTTCAGATTCAGGAGCATAAGCTTCTCTGTTTAAAAGTTGCATTATCCAGACAACAAAACAAAAGCAGCTTTTGCATTCTTCTTTAACCAAGGCCGTGTTGTGGACATCCTCGGTCCGGTTTTAGCCTTGGGTATTAAAATAGATAGAACTGAAAACCCAAAATAAATATGATATACTTCTAAGAAAAAGATAGGCCTACCCCCTCGCACCGCCGAAGCTTGTTTTAACCCATAGCATACTTCTGGGTCCAGCTCCTTGCAGTTGTCTCATACTTGGCTTTGTCCGTCTTGTACATGTGAGCAATCTCCGGCACCAAAGGATCGTCGGGATTTGGGTCCGTAAGCAAAGAACAGATTGACAGCAATACCTGAGAGAACAAAATCATAAAGAAGAAAAGTGTTAAACCAATTAGAGGGATGAAACGTAATTCGTAAATACGATTTGGTTGTTACAACAATGGCTGGATCCATTTTTATCATCTGCTGATAACCCGAACAAGAATATGAGATGGTTAGAAAATAATGACCTTGGAAATCGTTAGTGCAGGACTCCACTGCTCCTTCAAGATGTCTAGGCAAATGCTTCCGTTGCTATTGATATTGGGGTGGAATACCTTTGTTTTAAATGCCACCTACGAAATCCAATATCATATGAAAAATCTTTGAGACAGACAGTAGCAAGAGGGAAGGCAGCAAACACCAAGTGGTCATGTATTTTAATTTTCATTTTCCACATTCGAGCCATCAGGTAGACACAATCGATGCATATATTATAAACTACCTCGATATACAATCAATGTCGTATGAAACAAAAAAAAATCAAGAAGGATTATCCAATAAAAAGCATAATCCTTAATTTCTTCAAATATAGATAAACTGGAGATAGAGAAATGAAGGTGGGAGGGCATTTCAAATAGTGTAGTTATGCAACTGAATAATAGAGGTTGCTGTCCCACACAGAATAGAAGTGAATTGTCAAAGTTTTATAGCATTGAAACAACAGAGAAATTTTGCATGCACTTGCGGATGTCAAAGACCTGCTTCTATGTTCAACAAAAATTGCAAAAGAAAGTACCTTGGGAGGCTTAAAGGGATAATCAGGAGGAAAATGAATGGTCACAAGGAAAACACCCCCAGCATAAGGACTATCCGGTGGACCCATGATTGTGGCCTGCCAATGAAACATGTCTTCAGCAACAGGGCCTGCAAATTTATCAGATAAACATTAACCAATACATGTAAGTAATAAAGCTCAAACATACTCAAGAACTTGTGAATACAACCAATTGCTGAAAACATGAGCATAAGAAGCATATGAAAATAATAAGCAATGTTATGATCAGGCAGATAAGAGACTCGATATCAAAAATGTGATGACAAGCAAAATGGTGATATGATCACAGTGCTTGAAATATACATTCATAAAACGAGAAAATTAGTATACTGCCATTCAGAGTCAGACAATTGTTACTACAAAGAAGCACATATACAATGAAAATTGCTTTGGAATTCTCATGAAGGGAAGCCCCAATCAATTAGATCTGGTTTTAAAACTGCAATTTATCAACTTGATTTACAATCCATAAATTAAAACATTTGCACCTGAATATGACCATATACTACATTGATAATGCCACCACATGATGAAGTGCAATCTAAATTATCAATGTCTAAGCATGATAAAATGTGTCAAAAACATTTTCGACATTAATTGAGAACATAATAGACAATATATACATTTAGAAGGGTCAAGAACAATCCATGGACTAGACATGCTATACACTATGAGACTCTGATCGAATATGAAAAATAAGGAGCACTTCCAAGTTTAACACCCATTTAATCCAAGAAGAGCTTCATTTGAGCATAATGAATTGCAAAACCATTTTATCAACGCTTAACATTTTCCAGTTATACTTTTTTGTATGCTATAGTTGTACTGGCTCATAACAGAACATGATTTGCCAAACAGATGCCACGGCGAAAAGGAATACAAACTTAGCTCAGCCATCCTATTCCAAATGTTGCACACGAAACTACAATAATTTAAAAATTATCACCAATGAACATAACTAATTATAAAACATTATTGTTGCAAAAATTACTAAAATTATATTAAAAAAACATGAAACTACAATCATTTCCAAATAATCACATATAAACGATAGTAATAACTTTGATTATATTTTTTGTCAAAAATTACCATTAACGTCATAAATATATACGGAGAATTCTATCTTCTTACACGAAGATAAACGCATTAATAAATGAGAAAGATGATAAAAAGAAAGAAAGAAAAAACAACTCGAGATTAAGATCATTTTCTCTTGCAACAATCACAGATAAATCATATCAGACTGATACTTTTTGATCCTCGATTTAAACACTAACACATATACACATACAGATCTAGCAATTGATCTACACGGGCTAAACAAAAACACGTCAATATAAAAACATAATAAATTAAAAATAACGAAAATGATGAATTCATAGAGAGAGCATATATATTATACCAGCGCTGCATGATGTAGGAGGATCCTTCTGCAAATCCTTCAATTCCTTCAAGATCCGCTTCGATGCCATCGCCAAACCTGCAATTTATTCAGCATAAATTAAAAAACTAAATCAAAACAAGAGAAATAATGATAACAATAAGAATGATTTGAGATCTAACCTCAAAAGATGCTTGCGATTCAAACTATTTTATATAAATTGTGTTTTCGAATGCCTGAAGGAAAATTAGGAGGGGAGAAAATGAAATACACGATGGAAGTAGAAAAGCCTAATATGAGAAGAAAATAAATAAGAAAAAATTACGAAGGAGAAGAGAATTAAAGATCGGGTGTGGAGGCGGTCTTTTATAAAGGGGTGGAGCGGCCCTTAATTGAGGTCTGTGATTGGTGGTTAAAGTAATTGTGAGTGGGTCCCATTGATTTTTGTCACCCGGTTTTTGCCTAAAGTTGCCGCCAGCAACAAGTCCGTTTATTGTTTATTTATTTATTACTATTATTAGGGTAAAGTACATTAAAAATCAATTAATCATTTTATTTTTTAAAGGCTTTATATAAAATTAAATGTCTAAATTATACTCAAAATTATTTTTTGGTGTCTAAAGAAATTTTTGTTAAAAATACGTGTCTCAAGTTTTATCTATTACACTTTTAGCTGCATACCGTTAAAAAATGTTAAATGACATGTTGCACGTCTAATTTTTTAAAATATTTTTAAATAATATTTTATTTTAAAAATATTTGGACGTAACGTGTTATTTAACTTGTTTTAACGGTAGGGACCTAAAAATATAACTGAAAAACTTTAAACACATATTTTTTAACTAAAATTCTTTAGAACTAAAATGTTTTTGATGCATTCTTTATGCACTTATTTTTTTATTAGCCTTTTTTAAAGTTATAAGATAATTATTAAATTTATTAAAATATTACAAAATATATATTAAATTTTTAAAATTATTTATTTATAAAAAATTGATTAATTTGATATAAGTACAATGTATTATCTGTTCATAGATAATTATCTATCATTTGACATTGAACGCTCACATCTCTGACATTCCTATTGCTCGAACCTGAGACTTCAAGAATAACAACAATTTATATCACCCGAATTGTTTGGTTTGTGATACTTATCCAAAATTTTATAATTAACAATTATAGTGATTATTTATAATAATTTGATAAATTTAATAGTCAATTATATATATATATATAAAAAATTAATGACTAATGTGTTAATTACATATTAATTTCTCAAGATTTAGAGTTTTAACTTTAATACTACAAACAATGTAAACTTATAATATTTAATATGAATTAAAATAAATAATTTATTTTTATTAATACGAGGTAAGTAAAATGTAATATCGATTAAAGATAACTCTCAATCATTTGACACTAAACGTTTGTTTCCATGATATATCTAGTGTTGAAATTCGAGCCTCAAATAATAACAACAATTCATTGACTACTGAGGTCAATTGATTCGTGCAATTAATAAATAAGTTAAAAATCAAAGAAAATACTAAAATTATTAGTTTATTCTGATTTTTTCTTTTTTCCTTTTGAGATTCTTTAGCTTGAACGCGTTGCCCGTGGTCGTTCGAGGAAAATACGAAACGCACTCGCAGCGTCGTTTTTCTTATGTTGTGGTGTGCTCGGTGCGGGGTATTATGGTGTTGCTTTTTGGGTTTATGATTGGGTCCGCTGTGGAACGAACGCGTTTGTCAATTTGAGTTGGCTTGGTCCTGGCTGGCCGTCCGCGTTTGGGTCAAAACTCAAAACCTGCGAGGTCATCATCAATTACAACATAAGTTCCTCACTGACGCCTGATGTAAATGACATAATGGACAAAAAGTCCACAACATTCATCACCTATTCATTTGCATCCTCAAAGTTTTTCTTTGGTAATGTTAACTCTTAAAGTTTTATGTTTTTCAAATAAGTCCTTTTGAATATTCAATTGAAAGCTAACAATTTGTTGGTCTGACATGACAAAGTTAAGAGTGTAGTCGAAAAATAATAAATACCAGATATTTCCACCATTATGTATTTTCAGTTTTGATTTATAATTGCTTTCATGTTTACAGTTTTCACCAATTGACATTTCATAATTCGGAGGTCTTAACCTTGGGATCGTGGGATCGAGTCCCATGGAGGGCATTTCATAATTCGGAGGTCTCCTACGGAAGCTGCTCTCAATCTGGCGTTGGGGGCAGCCTACTATCCTACCTCCCCTTACCCCCATTACATATGGGAATAAGGGTCGGCTAAGTTTTTTTATTCTTCATGTTTCATCAACTTTGACATTCTTGAACCAGTAAGCCGAACTCTTAAGGTATCTTACTCAAGTTGTTCTTGTAGTCGATGTACGCGAACCCGAACCGGAGAGTGTATCCGGAAGTCCATTCGAAATCATCGGAAAACGCCCACATATATTAACCCTTTACGTTAACACCCTCCCTGCCAAAAGGTTAAAAAAAATTGGATTTAGGCAACAAGTTGAGCTGAAGCTGAACTTTGTTTATGGATTAAGTACTCTCCGGATTGCTTTCAAAAGGGACCTTAAGTGTCCGTCAAGGTACCTAATCCTAGTGCTATCTTTAAGGGCTTCTTCTATTGTCACTGAAGCATTATTTGCTTCAGCCTCCCCTGCAGAAAACAAAAGGCAAATGAAATTCAGGTTATTGGCTTCAAATGCATGGAACTTAAGCATTGTAACCGAGGACCGAAGACTCCAGCGATCCGGCTAACCGTTCTCCGTAATGTAAATGAGTGGATTGTTGTATTTGTTCTTTATGTATAGCATTAGATCTCTCAATCCCTTTGGATAAATGAAAAGTCAGCTCACATCAGTCTGCGAAATTGTTAACACTGATATTTGTTCATCAAATGGGCGTTTGAAGAAGGGAAGATCAGAAAAGAAGAAGAAAGAGCTAAGAAATTACCGATGTGCCTATCGGAACTCCATTCTTCTCGGCTGTGAGAACGAAACGGTACGTTAATAATAATGCTAGGCTTTTTCGGGTCTGAATAGAATGAGATCATTAGCATACTAAGCTAATCCAAAAACCTTCAAGATTTTCACGAAGTTCAAAATAACAAAAAAAAAATTAGACAAAAGAAGTAATACACAACAAGAATAAAATAATTCAAAATTCTTTCACTCTATTCTTGCTTTTAAGAATAAGAGATACACCATTCGTGTTCTTATTGATGGTAATGGTAACAGATTAGAATCCTACGATGATATGGCAAATGAAATTATCAATTTTTTTCTCTAATATGCTTGGTTCTACTGACAACAGAGTCAAATCCACTGATCCTGATACTCTCAAACTATTGCTTGATTTTTTTTCTGTCATCAGAAGCTTCTTCTAGCCTTGTTAAGGACATTACTGCTAGAGAAATTCAGGAAGCTATTTTCTGCAAGGTGACGACAAAGCCCCTGGGCCAGATGGCTTCTCTCCTAATTTCTTCAAGAAATCTTGGTCTATTGTGGGGATGATGTTACTGCTGCTGTCAAGTATTTCTTCACTTATTCTTACATGATTCCAGCCTTTAACTCTACTGTCATAGCTCTAGTTCCTAAAGTCCCTAATCCTGGAACTGTTAAAGATTTTCATCCCATTTCTTGTTGTTCTGTAATTTACAAAACTATAACAAAAATTCTGGTTAAAAGATTGTCAGATCTTCTCCCAAACATTATCTCTTTAAACCAGACAACTTTTATCAACGGTAGGAGTATTATTGATAATACCCTTCTTGCTCAAGAATTGGTCAAAGGCTATGGTAGGAAATCAATCTCCCCTAGATGCTCCTTGAAAATTGATCTTCACAAGGCTTTCGATTCAATTCATTGGGGTTTCATTTCTTCTATTCTTAATGCACTTAGCCTTCTTCCAACATTCATTGCATGGATTGAATCTTGTTTCACTCAAGCAAGGTACTCCATCTCATTCAATGGTTCCCTTATTGGCTATTTTAAGGGTGTTAGAGGTTTAAGACAAGGAGATCCTCTTTCTCCAACTTTGTTTGTCCTTGTAATGCACGTTTTCTCCAAAATGCTGAACTTGGCTGCTGATAAAGGTGTGTTTAGCTATCACCCAAAATGTAAGAAGACTAGGCTTACTCACCTTTCTTTTACAGATGATCTTATGATATTTTGCAAAGGCAATGTTGATTCTATTATGGGTGTCTTAAGTGTTCTTGAACAGTTTTCTGAAATTTCTGGGCTTCACCTAAATTCTGCTAAGTGCGAATTTTTCGATGCTGGTTGTTCTTCAAGAGCTTTGGATTTCTTTAAACATATCTCTGGTTTTAAAAAAGGCTGTCTACCTGTGAGATACTTAGGTATTCCCCTAGTTACTCGAAAACTAACTGAGAAGGACTGTGAAGTGCTTATTGATAAAATTAAACAAAGGCTTCACCATTGGTCTAACAGAAATCTGAGTTATGCTGGCAGACTTGAACTCATTCGTTTAGTCCTGTTCAGTGTCTCAAACTACTGGTGTAGACAACCTATTCTTCCCCAATCGATCTTATTAAAGATTAATCAACTCTGTTCCAGATTTTTCTGGAAAGGCGAAGACAAGCAGCTGCAGGTGCTAGAGTCAGTTGGGACTCTATTTGCTTTTCAAAATCTGAAGGAGGCCTCGGCCTAAAAAACATTAACATCTGGAACAAGCATGCCTTATTGATCTCATTAGGAAAATCATTGTGAAAGATGGTTCTCTTTAGGTTGCTTGGCTATATGATTATATTCTTAAGGATCTTGATTTTTGGGATTATAATGTAGGTTCTAACTTGAGCTACACTGTTTGCAGAATATTAAAAATGCGTGCTACTGCTTATCCTATTATTTCTTCTTCTGGTTCTTTAAAGCTTTCTGATATCTGGGAAGCTATCCGAATCAAAGGGGAAAAAGTTCCTTGGCACAAATTAATCCGGTTTCCTTTGCACATTCCTAAATTCAGCTTAATTTCTTGGATGGCTTTGCTGAATAGACTTCCTACTAGAGACAGTTACTCAAAATGGGAATCATCTTGGAAGGGGCTTGTGTTAATTGCAATATTGAGCAAGAGACAAGAAATCATATTTTCTCAAATTGTCCGCTTGTTGTTCAGCTTTGGAACTCTATACTGTCTCTAAGTCGACTGCGGAAGGCTTACTTATCTTGGGATGAAATGGTTATTCGGGCTACTACAACATGGAAAGGGAAATCTTTACTCACCACTGTTCT